GTGGGTGGGTGGGGTTCACGATGTGTGGGTGGGTGGGGGTTCACGATGTGTGGGTGGGTGGGGGTTCACGATGTGTGGGTGGGGTGGGTGGGGTTCACGATGTGTGGGTGGGGTTCACGATGTGTGGGTGGGGTGGGTGGGGGGGGTTCACGATGTGTGGGTGGGGGGTTCACGATGTGTGGGTGGGTGGGGTTCACGATGTGTGGGTGGGGGTTCACGATGTGTGGGTGGGTGGGGTTCACGATGTGTGGGTGGGTGGGGGTTCACGATGTGTGGGTGGGTGGGGTTCACGATGTGTGGGTGGGATGTGTGGGTGGGGTTCACGATGTGTGGGTGGGGTTCACGATGTGTGGGTGGGGTGGGTGGGTGGGGTTCACGATGTGTGGGTGGGGTTCACGATGTGTGGGTGGGGTTCACGATGTGTGGGTGGGGTTCACGATGTGTGGGTGGGGTTCACGATGTGTGGGTGGGTCACCTGTTCCGAAGGCCGTGTCCACGAAGTCGTCGTGGACGATGGGCAGGCGGCGCCCGCAGAACGGGTGCAGCACGAACCGACCCCGCAGGTGCTGTGCCGCAACAACAACCACAACCACCACGTCAACAACCACCACAACAACAACCACAACAACCACCACCACAACCACCACCACGTCAACAACCACCACAACAACCACGTCAACAACAACCACAACAACCACCACAACAACCACCACAACAACCACGTCAACAACAACCACAACAACCACCACGTCAACAACCACCACCACAACAACCACCACAACAACCACCACAACAACCACCACAACAACCACCACGTCAACAACCACCACAACAACCACCACGTCAACAACCACAACAACCACCACAACAACAACCACCACCACGTCAACAACCACCACAACAACCACCACCACGTCAACAACCACCACAACAACCACCACAACAACCACCACAACAACCACCACGTCAACAACCACCACAACAACCACCACAACAACCACCACCACCACGTCAACAACCACCACCACCACGTCAACAACCACCACCACCACGTCAACAACCACCACCACCACGTCAACAACCACCACAACCACCACCACAACAACCACCACAACAACCACCACAACAACAACCACCACGTCAACAACCACCACAACAACCACCACGTCAACAACCACCACAACAACCACCACCACCACGTCAACAACCACCACAACAACCACCACGTCAACCACCACGTCAACCACCACCACAACAACCACCACGTCAAACACCACGTCAACCACCACCACAACAACCACCACGTCAACAACCACCACAACCACCACCACAACCACCACCACGTCAACAACCACCACAACAACCACCACCACCACGTCAACAACCACCACAACAACCACTACAACAACCACCACAACAACCACCACAACAACCACCACGTCAACAACCACCACAACAACCACCACAACAACCACCACAACAACCACCACGTCAACAACCACCACGTCAACAACCACCACAACAACCACCACAACAACCACCACAACAACCACCACAACAACCACCACGTCAACAACCACCACGTCAACAACCACCACAACAACCACCACAACAACAACCACCACGTCAACCACCACGTCAACAACCACAACAACCACCACAACAACCACCACCACAACAACCACCACAACAACAACCACGTCAACCACCACCACAACAACCACCACCACCACGTCAACAACCACCACAACAACCACCACAACAACCACCACCACGTCAACAACCACCACAACAACCACCACAACAACCACCACAACAACCACGTCAACAACCACGTCAACAACCACCACAACAACCACCACAACAACCACCACAACAACCACCACAACAACCACCACAACAACCACGTCAACAACCACCACAACAACCACCACCACAACAACCATGTCAACAACCACCACCACGTCAACAACCACCACAACAACCACCACAACAACCACCACGTCAACCACCACGTCAACAACCACCACAACAACCACCACAACAACCACCACGTCAACCACCACAACAACCACCACAACAACCACCACGTCAACAACCACCACAACAACCACCACCACGTCAACAACCACCACCACACGTCAGCAACCACCACCACGTCAACCACCACCACCACCACCACCACATCAACCACCACCACCACGTCAACCACCACCACCACGTCAACCACCACCACGTCAACCACCACAACAACCACCACCACCACGTCAACAACCACCACCACGTCAACAACCACCACCACCACGTCAACCACCACCACCACGTCAACAACCACCACCACCACCACCACGTCAACCACGATCACCACGTCAACCACCACCACCACCACATCAACCACCACCACCACGTCAACCACCACCACCACGTCAACCACCACAACAACCACCACCACCACGTCAACCACCACAACAACCACCACCACCACAACAACCACCACAACAACCACCACCACCACAACAACCACCACCACCACAACAACCACCACCACCACGTCAACAACCACCACCACCACGTCAACAACCACCACCACCACCACGTCAACCACCACCACCACCACGTCAACAACCACCACCACCACGTCAACAACCACCACCACCACGTCAACCACCACCACCACGTCAACCACCACCACCACGTCAACCACCACCACGTCAACAACCACCACCACGTCAACAACCACCACCACGTCAACCACCACCACCACCACGTCAACCACCACCACCACGTCAACCACCACCACAACCACCACCACCACGTCAACAACCACCACAACAACCACCACCACCACGTCAACAACCACCACCACCACGTCAACAACCACCACCACCACGTCAACAACCACCACCACGTCAACAACCACCACAACAACCACCACAACAACCACCACCACCACGTCAACAACCACCACAACAACCACCACAACAACCACCACCACGTCAACCACCACCACGTCAACAACCACCACCACGTCAACCACCACCACGTCAACAACCACCACCACCACGTCAACAACCACCACCACGTCAACAACCACCACCACGTCAACCACGTCAACCACCACCACGTCAACCACGTCAACCACCACCACCACGTCAACAACCACCACCACCACGTCAACCACCACGTCAACCACCACGTCAACCACCGCAACAACCACCACCACCACGTCAACCACCGCAACAACCACCGCAACAACCACCACGTCAACCACCACATCAACCACCGCGTCAACCACCACCACCACCACGTTAACCCCATCAACCACCACCACGTTAACCCCATTAACCACCGCAACAACCACCACCACGTTAACCCCATCAACCACCACCACCACCACGTTGACCCCATCAACCACCACCACCACCACGTTGACCCCATCAACCACCACCACCACCACGTTGACCCCATCAACCACCGCGTCCACCACAACATCGACCACAATGTTCACTACGGCCACGGAGAGAGACGCAAACTACCGAGACCTGCCGTGACCGCCCATGACCAGCCGCGACCTCCCGTGACCGGTCATGACCTCCCATGACCTCCTATAACCTGCCGTAACCTCCCATGACCAGCCACGACCTCCCGTGACCGGTGACGACCTCCCGTGACCTCCCGTGACCTCACCGTGTAGCGGGGATCGTCGGGGTGGACTGCGACGCCCGTGTCTCCCAGCATGGTCTCCACTCGCGTGGTCGCCACCACCACCTCCTCGTCTACGCGGGGGAGACAAGGGGGAGACAAGGGGGAGACAAGGGGGAGACAAGGGGGAGACAAGGGGGAGACAAGGGGGAGACAAGGGGGAGACAAGGGGGAGACAAGGGGGAGACAAGGGGGAGACAAGGGGGAGACAAGGGGGAGACAAGGGGGAGACAAGGGGGAGACAAGGGGGAGACAAGGGGGAGACAAGGGGGAGACGTGAATGGAGACGCAGGGAGAAACGGAGGAGACGCGGGGGGGACGTGAATGGAGACACGGGGGGGGGGACGCGGGGAGACGCAGGGAGACACGGGGGGGGACACAGGGAGACACAGGGGAGACACAGGGAGACACAGGGAGAGCCGGGGGGGACACAGGGAGACACGGGGGGGGACACAGGGAGACACGGGGGAGACACAGGGAGACACAGGGAGACACGGGGGGGACACAGGGGAGACACGGGGGGGGGACAGGGAGACACAGGGGAGACACAGGGAGACACGGGGGGGACACAGGGAGACACGGGGGAGACACGGGGGGGACACGGGGGAGACACAGGGAGACACGGGGGGGACAGGGAGACACAGGGGAGACACAGGGAGACATGGGGGAACACAGGGGAGACACAGGGAGACACGGGGGGGACACAGGGGAGACACGGGGGGGGGGACAGGGAGACACGGGGAGACACAGGGGAGACGGGGGGGACACAGGGAGACACAGGGGGGAAGTGAATGGAGACACGGGGGAGACGCAGGGAGAGACGGGGGAGACACAGGGGAGACACAGGGAGACACGGGGGAGACACGGGGGAGACACGGGGGAGACACGGGGGAGACAGGGGGGAGACAGGGGGGAGACACAGGGAGATACAGGGGAGACACAGGGAGACACAGGGAGACACGGGGGAGACACAGGGAGAGACGGGGGAGACACAGGGAGACACGGGGGAGACACAGGGAGACACGGGGGAGACACAGGGAGACACGGAGGAGACACAGGGAGACACGGAGGAGACACGGGGGAGACACGGGGGAGACACAGGGAGATACAGGGGAGACACAGGGAGATACAGGGGAGACACAGGGAGACACAGGGAGACACAGGGAGACACAGGGGAGACACAGGGAGACACGGGGGAGACACGGGGGAGACACGGGGGAGACACGGGGGAGACACAGGGAGACACGGGGGAGACACAGGGAGACACAGGGAGACACGGGGGAGACACAGGGAGACACAGGGGAGACACAGGGAGACACAGGGAGACACGGGGGAGACACAGGGAGACACGGGGGAGACACGGGGGAGACACGGGGGAGACACAGGGAGACAGGGGGGAGACACAGGGAGACACAGGGAGACACGGGGGGGACGTGAATGGAGACACGGTGGGGGGGACGCAGGGAGACACAGGGAGACACGGGGGGGACAGGGAGACACGGGGGGGGGGGCAGGGAGACACGGGGAGACACGGGGGACACAGGGAGACACAGGGGGAAAGTGAATGGAGACACAGGGAGACACGGGGGAGACGCAGGGAGAGACGGGGGAGACACAGGGGAGACACAGGGAGACACGGGGGAGACACAGGGAGACACGGGGGAGACACGGGGGAGACAGGGGGGAGACAGGGGGGAGACACAGGGAGATACAGGGGAGACACAGGGAGACACAGGGAGACACAGGGAGACACAGGGAGAGACGGGGGAGACACAGGGAGACACGGGGGAAACACAGGGAGACACGGGGGAGACACAGGGAGACACGGAGGAGACACAGGGAGACACGGGGGAGACACGGGGGAGACACGGGGGAGACACAGGGAGACACGGGGGAGACACAGGGAGATACAGGGGAGACACAGGGAGACACAGGGAGACACAGGGAGACACAGGGGAGACACAGGGAGACACGGGGGAGACACAGGGAGACACGGGGGAGACACGGGGGAGACACGGGGGAGACACGGGGGAGACACAGGGAGACAGGGGGGAGACACAGGGAGACACAGGGAGACACGGGGGGGACGTGAATGGAGACACGGTGGGGGGGACGCAGGGAGACACAGGGAGACACGGGGGGGACAGGGAGACACGGGGGGGGGGGGCAGGGAGACACGGGGAGACACGGGGGACACAGGGAGACACAGGGGGGAAGTGAATGGAGACACAGGGAGACACGGGGGAGACGCAGGGAGAGACGGGGGAGACACAGGGAGACACGGGGGAGACGCAGGGAGAGACGGGGGAGACACAGGGAGACACGGGGGAGACACAGGGAGACACGGGGGAGACACAGGGAGACACGGGGGAGACACGGGGGAGACACGGGGGAGACACAGGGAGACAGGGGGGAGACAGGGAGATACAGGGGAGACACAGGGAGACACAGGGAGACACAGGGAGACACAGGGAGACACAGGGGAGACACGGGGGAGACACAGGGAGACACAGGGAGACACAGGGAGACAGGGGGGAGACACAGGGAGACACAGGGAGACACGGGGGGGACGTGAATGGAGACACGGTGGGGGGGATGCAGGGAGACACAGGGAGACACGGGGGAGACAGGGAGACACGGGGGGACACAGGGAGACACAGGGAGACACGGGGGAGACACAGGGAGATACGGGGGGGACGCGGGGGAGACGCGGGGGGGACGCGGGGGAGAGGCGGGGGAGACCCTCACCCTCACCACCCTCACCACCACCACCACCCTCACCCTCACCACCACCACGTGGTACCTGAGTCCTCCACCTTGTAGGCGAAGGACACGAGGACTCCGAACTCGACCTTCTCCGAGTAGCCGGGGACCGGCAGCAGTGTGCGGCCACTCAGCTCCTTCTTGTCCACCTACAAAGACAAAGGCAGCCCACCACCCCAGGTAGCCTTCAACAGACTGTCGGGGCAAGTGCTGCCATAGGCGGTGTGCTGTCTCCTCCGCTCATTATCAGACCCACAGGTACCCACAAAACGCGTGCAGACCTCATAGACCCATATAGACCCATATAGACCTACAGAAACCCCATAGACCCATAGACACCCCATAGACCCATATAGACCTACAGAAACCCCATAGACCCATAGACATCCTATAGACCCATATAGACCTACAGAAACCCCATAGACCCATAGACACCCCATAGACCCATATAGACCTACAGACACCACATAGACCCATACACACACCATAGACCCATATAGACCTACAGAAACCCCATAGACCTATAGATACCCCATAGACCCATATAAACCTACAGACACCACATAGACCCATAGTCACCCCATAGTCCCGTATAGACCTACAGAAACCCCATAGACCCATAGACACCCCATAGACCCATATAGACCTACAGAAACCCCATAGACCCATAGACACCCCATAGACCCATATAGATCTACAGAAACCCCATTGACCCATAGACACCCGATAGACACATATAGACCTACAGAAACCCCATAGACCCATAGACACCCCAAAGACCCATATAGACCTACAGAAACCCCATAGACCCATATAGACCTACAGAAGCCCCATAGACCCATAGACACACCGTAGACCCATATAGACCTACAGAAACCCCATAGACTCATAGACATCCCATACTCATATAAACCTACAGACACCCCAAAGACCCATAGACATCCCATAGACCCATATAGACCTACAGAAACCCCATAGACCTATAGACACCCCATAGACCCATATAGACCTACAGAAACCCCATAGACCCATATAGATCTACAGAAACCCCATAGACCCATAGACACCCCAAAGAACCATATAGACCTACAGAAACCCCATAGACCCATATAGACCTACAGAAACCCCATAGACCCAAAGACACCCCATAGACCCATATAGACTTACAGAAACCCCATAGACCCATAGACATCCCATAGACCCATATAGACCTACAGAAACCCCATAGACCCATAGACACCCCATAGACCCATACAGACCTACAGAAACCCCATAGACCCATAGACACCCCATAGACCCATATAGACTTACAGAAACCCCACAGACCCATAGACACCCCATAGACCCATATAGACCTACAGAAACCCCATAGACCCATAGACACCCCATAGACCCATATAGACCTACAGAAACCCCATAGACCCATAGACACCCCAAAGACCCATATAGACCTACAGAAACCCCATAGACCCATAGACACCCCAAAGACCCATATAGACCTACAGAAACCCCATAGACCCATATAGACCTACAGAAACCCCATAGACCCATAGACACCCCATAGACCCATATAGACCTACAGAAACCCCATAGACCCATAGACACCCCAAATACCCATATAGACCTACAGAAACCCCATAGACCCATAGACACCCCAAAGACCCATATAGACCTACAGAAACCCCATAGACCCATATAGACCTACAGAAACCCCTATAGACCCATAGACACCCCATAGAACCATATAGACCTACAGAAACCCCATAGACCCATAGACACCCCAAAGACCCATATAGACCTACAGAAACCCCATAGACCCATATAGACCTACAGAAACCCCATAGACCCATAGACACCCCAAAGACCCATATAGACCTACAGAAACCCCATAGACCCATATAGACCTACAGAAACCCCATAGACCCATAGACACCACGTAGACCCATAGACACCACGTAGACCCATAGACCCATAGACACCACGTAGACCCATAGACACCACGTAGACCCATAGACACCACATAGATCCATAGACACCCCATAGACCCATAGACACCACGTAGACCCATAGACAACCACATAGAGCCATAGACACCACGTAGACCCATAGACACCACGTACACCCATAGACACCACACAGACCCATAGACACCACATAGACCCATAGACAACCACATAGACCCATAGACACCACGTAGACCCATAGACATCACAGAGACCCAGAGACACCACGTAAACCCATAGACACCACATAGACCCATAGACACCACGTAGACCCATAGACACCACGTAGACCCATAGACATCACAGAGACCCAGAGACACCACGTAAACCCATAGACACCACATAGACCCATAGACACCACATAGACCCATAGACACCACAGAGACCTACAGACACCCCATAGACCCACAGACACCACGTAGACCCATAGACACCACATAGACCCATAGACACCACATAGACCCATAGACACCACGTAGACCCATAGACACTCCATAGACCCATAGACACCACAGAGACCTACAGACACCACATAGACCCATAGACACCACATAGACCCATAGACACCACGTAGACCCATAGACACCACAAAGACCCATAGACACCACGTAGACCCATAGACACCAGAGACCTACAGACACCACATAGACCCATAGACACCACGTAGACTCATAGACACCACGTAGACCCATAGAAACCACGTAGACCCATAGACACCACAAAGACCCATAGACACCACATAGACCCATAGACACCACAGAGACCCATAGACACCACGTAGACCCATAGACACCACAGAGACCCATAAACACCCCATAGACCCATAGACACCACGTAGACCCATAGATACCACAGAGATCCATAGACACCACATAGACCCATAGACACCACGTAGACCCATAGACACCACGTAGACCCATAGACACCCCATAGACCCATAGACACCACGTAGACCCATAGACACCACGTAGACCCATAGACACCACGTAGACCCATAGACATCACAGAGACCCATAGACACCCCACAGACCCATAGACACCCCACAGACCCATAGACACCACATAGACCCATAGACACCACATAGACCCATAGACACCACGTAGACCCATAGACACCACGTAGACCCATATACATCACAGAGACCCATAGACACCACATAGACCCATAGACACCCCATAGACCCATAGACACCCCACAGACCCATAGACACATAGACACCACGTAGACCCATAGACACCACATAGACCCATAGACACCACATAGACCCATAGACACCCCATAGACCCATAGACACCCCACAGACCCATAGACACAGACCTCACGTAGACCTACAGACACCACAGAGACCCATAGACATCACAGAGACCCATAGACACCACAGAGTCCTACCGACACCATGGAGACCCACAGACACCACGTAGACCCATAGACACAACATAGACCTACAGACACCACGTAGACCCATAGACACAACATAGACCTACAGACACCACGTAGACCCATAGACACCACAGAGACCTACAGACACCACGTAGACCCATAGACACAACATAGACCTACAGACACCACGTAGACCCATAGACACAACATAGACCTACAGACACCACGTAGACCCATAGACACAACATAGACCTACAGACACCACGTAGACCCATAGACACCACAGAGACCTACAGACACCCCATAGACCCATAGACACCACAAAGACCTACAGACACCCCATAGACCCATAGACACAACATAGACACATAGACACCACGTAGAGCCATAGACACCACGTAGACCCATAGACACCACGTAGACCCATAGACACCAGAGACCTACAGACACCCCATAGACCCGTAGACACAACATAGACCTACAGACACCCCACAGACCCATAGACAGCACATAGACCCATAGACACCACGTAGACCCATAGACACCACGTAGACCCATAGACACCACAGAGACCTACAGACACCCCATAGACCCATAGACACCACATAGACCCATAGACACCCCATAGACACATAGACACCACATAGACCAACAGACACCCCATAGACCCATAGACACCACGTAGACCACCCCCCAATAGACACCACGTAGACCCACGGACTGCTGATGTTTAACACGCAACGCGCCAGGCACCCGTTTAAGGCTGAGTAGACCTAATGGGAGGGGCTTCAAGGGGGCGGGGCTGAGAAGTTAAACCCAGATGAGGACCCCAACTGAGTGTCGTAGCGCTTTTGTTCAGAAGCGACCTGACCACATATGACAGCTCAACGTCGCCATCGGGAGTGAACGTTCACAACACCCTGATTGTGCGACGTTGCTCCTAAGGGGCCGGCCATAAATGACGTCACGTGATTTTTGCTCCCCCCCCCCTCCACCCCCTTAGTCACACGGCATCACAAAAAGTCAGACCCCCCCGCCCCCCCCCCCCACCACCTCAAACATGACATCACAAAAATAAAACATGCTTCAAATCGCTTTAAACTATTGTTGTCATTGTAGTAGTTGCGTATTTAATGTGGCGCTGCACTCTGATGTTGTAGGAAGAAGACATTTATTAAAAAGGTATATTTCATTAAGTAGAACGTGTTGTGTCTATATTTATTTATAAAGTTGCGCAATTTTGACGTGACGTCACATTTCTCAAACCCCCCCCAACCCCCCTACTCGTCACACATCCCGACCCCCCCACTCCCCCCCCCAAGGTGCGTGACGTCATTTATGGACGACCCCTAAACGTGGAGGGGGGGGGAAACCGGAGGACGCGGAGAAAAATCCACGTGACCACGGGGAGAGAGAGAGAGAGACGCAGACTCCAAATCTACAACAGCAGGCGTTGTCAGGGTCGGGATCGAACCCACGACCTCCTGCGTACCAGGCGAGGTAGTTAACATATCCTAGCCACCGTGATGATGATGAGAGAGACGCAGACTCCAATATACAGCAGCAGCAGGCGTCGTCAGGGTCGGGATCAAACCCACCCACGACCTCCTGCGTACCAGGCGAGGTAGTTAACATCTCCTAGCCACCGTGATGATGATGAGAGAGAGAGAGAGACGCAGACTCCAAATCTACAGCAGCAGGCATCGTCAGGGATGGGATCGAACCCACGACCTCCTGTAGACCAGGCGAGGTAGTCAACATCTCCAAGCCACCGTGGACATCTGACGTCACTGTTACTGGTCGTGAGAGAGCGGGGATCGAACCCGGGTGTCATGGTCGGATCCGTGGCATCGTGCGCTGCTAAGCACTGCGCCACCGCTCTTCACACACACACACAAACACCGTCGGTGATGGTGGGAATGGTGTCGGTGATTGTGATGATGTTGTTGTTGTTGGTGATGATGTTGATGTCTGTAACATTGATGACGCCGATGATGTTGCGGATGATGATGGTGATGATGATCTCGGTGATGATGATGGTGTTGTTGTTGTTGTTGGTTGATAATGTTGATGTCTGTAACATTGATGACGCCGATGATGTTGCGGATGATGATGGTGATGATGATTTCGGTGATGATGATGTCGGTGATGATGATGGTGATGATGATGGTGATGATGGTGGTGATGATGGTGATGATGATGGTGATGATGATGTGGTGATGATGATGATGGTGATGTGGTGATGATGATGTCGGTGACGATGATGATGATGATGTCGGTGACGATGACGACGTCGGTGGTGACGATGACGACGTCGGTGGTGACGATGACGACGATGACGACGTCGGTGACGTCAGTGACGATGGCGATGGCGGCGCCGAGGGCGCTCACCTCGATGTCGGAGATGGCCGAGTTGAGGCTGCAGGACCAGTTGACGAGGCGGTTGCCACGGTAGATGACGCCGTCGTCATGGAGACGCACAAACGCCTCCTGCACGGCGCGCGACAGCTTCTACGCAGGGAGACACGTGGCCACGCGTCAGCTCCGCGCGTCACCACACACACACGCGTGTGTGTGCGCGTGTGTGCGTGTGTGTGTGCGTGTGTGTGCGGTCCTGGGCCTCCCCTTAGGTCGACTCAGCCTCAACTAAGTACCTGGTGCGGTGGATAAAAACATCGCCACTGGGGAGACAAAGGCGGTTGGGCGTGGTGCTGGCCACCCACCCCCCTCGTGTGCCGTTCCGGCCTTCGTAGGTGCTCGCTGCTCGCTAACAGCCACTTGCCCCTACAGTCTGTTGAGGCTATACGGGGGATCTTTGTCTTTTTGTGTGTGTGTGCGTGTGTGCGTGCGTTTGCGTGTGTGTGCGTGTGTGCGTGTGTGCGCGTGCGTGCGTGTGCGCGCGTGAGCGTGTGTGTGCGTAAGCGTGTGTGCGTGTGCGCGTGTGCGCGTGTGCGCGTGTGCGCGTGTGTGCGTGTGTGCGCGTGTGTGTGTGCGTGTGTGTGCGTGTGTGTGTGTGTGTGCGCGTGTGTGCGTGTGTGTGCGTGTGTGTGAGCGTGTGTGTGCGTGCGTGTGCGTGCGTACGTGTGTGTGCATGTGTGCGTGTGCGCGTGTGTGCGCGTGCGCGTGCGTGTGTGCGTGTGTGCGCATGTGTGCGTGTGTGTGTGCGTGTGTGTGTGCGTGTGTGTGTGCGTGTGTGTGTGTGTGTGTGCGTGCGTGTGTGCGTCTGCGTGTGCGGCAGTGTAGCGCGGTTAGCGCAACGTTGCGCTGCGAAAACCCGATTCGTCTGAACCGGTCCTGGGGACCTCCTCCCCTAGGTCGACTCAGCCCTCAAACGAGTACCTGCTGCTGCTGCTGCGGTGTGTAGTAGTGAACGTCGCCACTAGGGGAGACAAAGGCGGCCGGGCATGGTGTCGTGCGCCACGGTGCCCCGTGGCCTCCGTAGCTGCTGCTGCTCGCTAACGGCACTTGCCCCTACAGTCTGTTAAGGCTACACGGTGGGAGCTTTGTCTTGTGTCTGGTGGTTGTGGTGGTTGTGGTGGTGGTTGTGGTGGTTGTGGTGGTTGTGATGGTTGTGGTGGTTGTGGTTGTGGTGGTGGTTGTGGTTGTGGTGGTGGTTGTGGTGGTTGTGGTGGTTGTGGTGGTTGTGGTGGTGGTGGTTGCTCACGGGGTCCATGGTAAAGCATGCACGGTCCCAGTCCAGAGAGGAGCCTAGTGTCCTCAGCTGATGGTAAATGCGGTCGCCCTTTCTGCAACCACAACAACCACAATCATCAACAACCACAATCATCGACAACCACAATCATCGACAACCACAGCAATCGACAATCACAGCAATCGACAACCACAATCATCGACAACCACAGCAATCAACAACCACATCAATCAACAACCACATCAATCAACAACCACATCAATCAACAACCAAAACAATCAACAACCACATCAATCAACAACCACATCAATCAACAACCAAAACAATCAACAACCACAGCAATCAACAACCACAACAATCAACAACCACAGCAATCAACAACCACAGCAATCAACAACCACATCAATCAACAACCACATCAATCAACAACCACATCAATCAACAACCACATCAATCAACAACCACAACAATCAACAACCACAGCAATCAACAACCACAGCAATCAACAACCACAGCAATCGACAACCACAGCAATCAACAACCACAGCAATCAACAACCACATCAATCAACAACCACAGCAATCAACAACCACAGCAATCAACAACCACAGCAATCAACAACCACAGCAATCAACAACCACAGCAATCAACAATCACAACAATCGACAACAACATCAATCAACAACCACAGCAATCAACAACCACATCAATCAACAACCACAGCAATCAACAACCACAGCAATCAACAACCACAGCAATCAACAACCACATCAATCAACAACCACAGCAATCGACAACCACAACAATCAACAACCACAACAATCAACAACCACATCAATCGACAACCACAGCAATCGACAACCACAACAACCACAACAATCAACAACCACATCAATCGACAACCACAGCAATCGACAACCACAACAACCACAACAATCAACAATCAACAACCACATCAATCAACAACCACAGCAATCAACAACCACAGCAATCAACAACCACAGCAATCAACAACCACAGCAATCAACAACCACATCAATCAACAACCACAGCAATCGACAATCACAACAATCGACAACCACATCAATCAACAACCACATCAATCAACAACCACATCAATCGACAACCACATGAATCGACAACCACAACAATCAACAACCACATCAATCAACAACCACAACAATCAACAACCACATCAATCGACAACCACAGCAATCAACAACCACATCAATCAACAACCACAGCAATCAACAACCACATCAATCAACAACCACATCAATCGACAACAACAATCAACAACCACATCAATCAACAATCACAACAATCGACAACAACAACAATCAACAACCACATCAATCAACAATCAACAACCACAGCAATCAACAACCACATCAATCGACAACCACATCAATCAACAACCACATCAATCAGCAACCACAACAATCAACAACCACAACAATCAAAAATCACAACAATCAACAATCACAACAATCAACAACAATCAACAACAATCAACAACCACATCAATCAACAATCAACAACCACAGCAATCAACAACCACATCAATCGACAACCACATCAATCAACAACCACATCAATCAACAACCACAACAATCAACAACCACATCAATCAACAACCACAACAATCAACAACCACATCAATCAACAACCACATCAATCAACAACCACAACAATCAACAACCACAACAATCAACAACCACATCAATCAACAATTAACAATCACAACAATCAACAACCACATCAATCAACAATTAACAATCACAACAATCAACAACAACAACAATCAACAACCACATCAATCAACAATCAACAACCACAACAATCAACAACCACATCAATCAACAACCACATCAATCAACAACCACAACAATCAACAACCACAACAATCAACAACCACAGCAATCAACAACCACAGCAATCGACAATCAACAACCACACGACGACCACGGGGGTCTCTATGGGTGGGGGGTCTTTATGGGAGGGGGGTGGGGGGTCTCTATGGGGGGGGGGGGGGTGGGTGGTCTCTATGGGTGGGGGGTGGTCTCTGTGTCTCTGTGTCCCACTCACTCCCTCTTCCAGGCCCACACGTGCTCAACGAAGTTGTCCCGGCCCAGGTCGTGGCGACTCAGCCCCAGCTCCTTCTTCACCTTGCGCTCCACCACCACCTGCGGACAGCCACAGGGGACCATCACCGCCATCGCCTCCATCATCGTCACCACCGCCTCCATCATCACCGCCACCATCACCATCATCGTCACCACCGCCTCAATCATCACCGCCATCACCGCCATTATCACCACCGCGATCACCAATGCCACCGCCACCACTATCACCATCACCACCATCACCGTCACCACCACCACCATCACCACCATCACCACCACCGTGTGCCGGACGAGGCGCTGGTGGTTCTGGCTGCCCCCGTTGCCAGGGGAGACAACAGCGCCAACACCCAGCGCCCCCCACGCCTGCCCCCCCCTAGCGCCCCTCCCTCCCTCCCCTGCCCCCCCCCGCCTCGCCCCCGCCCCCCCCAGTGCCCCCACCCAGCGCCCCTCCCCCACGGACCCCCCCCCCCACGCCCAAACACATTTACCCATGATGCTTTGCACCCCCCCCCCCGTTACCCACAATGCACCGAGCAGCAGCGAACCTGGGTGGCGATGCCGGCGTGGTCGCAGCCCGGGTTCCACAGAGTGGTCTCTCCTCTCATGCGGTGCCTGCGCTCGTGCGGACACAAAGGCAAAGGTCCCCCGCGTAGCCTTCACAGGGTGTCGGGGGCAGGTGCGGTTTCGCGGGCAGCAGCGCCTCCGAAGGCCGGCACGGCACGCGGCGGGGGCTTTTGTCTCCCGCCCCCCAGCGGCGATGTTTGCTACCATTGGTGAGCGGGTGAGCGGGCGAGTGGGCGAGTGGGCGAGTGGGTGAGTGAGCGGGCGAGTGAGCGGGTGAGTGAGTGGGTGAGTGAGCGAGCGAGTGGGCGAATGAGTGGGTGAGTGAGAGAGTGATTGTGCGAGTGTGCTGTTCACCATCGTGCGAGTGGGTGAGTGTGTGCGTGAATGAGCCGGTGAGTGGGTGGGTGAGTGAGTGACTGAGTGGGTGAGTGGGTGGGTGGGTGGGTGAGTGAGTGGGTGGGTGGGTGGGTGAGCAAGTGGGTGAGTGGGTAGGTGGGTGAGCGAGTGGGTGAGTGGGTAGGTGGGTGAGCGAGTGGGTGAGTGGGTGGGTGAGTAAGTGGGTGAGTGGGTGAGTGGGTGGGTGGGTGAGTGAGTAGGTGAGTGGGTGGGTGAGCGAGTGGGTGGGTGAGTGGGTGAGTGGATGAGTGAGGGGGTGAAGTGAGTGGGTGAGCGAGTGAGCGAGCGTGAGGTTCACCAGCGGGTGAGCGAGTGGGTGAGTAAGTGGGTGAGTGAGCGGGCGAGTGAGCGAGCGAGTGGGTGAGCGAGTGGGTGAACGAGTGGGTGAGCGTGAGGTTCACCAGCGGGTGAGCGAGTGGGTGAGCGAGTGGGTGAGCGAGTTAGTGAGCGTGAGGTTCACCAGTGGGTGAGCGAGTGGGTGAGCGTGAGGTTCACCATCGGGTGAGCGAGTGGGTGAGCGAGCGGGCGAGTGAGCGAGTGGGTGAGCGAGCGGGTGAGCGAGTGGGTGAGTGAGCGAGTGGGTGAGCGAGTGGGTGAGCGAGTGGGTGAGTGAGCGAGTGGGTGAGCGAGTGGGTGAGCGTGATGTTTACCAGTGGGTGAGCGAGTGGGTGAGCGTGATGTTTACCAGCGGGTGAGCGTGTCCTCCACGGCGTTGGTGAGTGCGTGGCCCAGGTGCAGGGAGCCGGTCACGTTGGGCGGGGGGATGCACATCATGAACACCCCCTTGGGGTTCTCCTCCGACACACTCGCACGCTAACACGTCAACAACAACAAGACACAACAAGACACGTCATCATCAACAAGACACAACAAGACACGTCATCAACAACAAGACACAACAAGACACATCATCAACAACAACAAGACACGTCATCAACAACAAGACACAACAAGACACATCATCAACAACAACAAGACACGTCATCATCAACAAGACACAACAAGACACGTCATCAACAACAAGACACAACAAGACACGTCATCAACAACAAGACACAACAACAACAACAACAACAAGACACATCAACAACAACAAGACACATCAACAACAACAAAACACAACAAGACACAACAACAACAACAAGACAACAAGACACATCATCAACAACAACAACAAGACACATCATCAACAACAAGACACAACAAGACACATCATCAACAACAACAAGACACATCATCAACAACAACAAGACACAACAAGACACATCATCAACAACAACAAGACACAACAAAACACATCATCAACAACAAGACACAACAAGACACATCATCAACAACAAGACACAACAAGACACATCATCAACAACAACAAGACACAACAAGACACAACAAGACACATCAACAACAACAAGACACATCATCAACAACAACAAGACACAACAAAACACATCATCAACAACAAGACACAACAAGACACAACAACAACAACAAGACACAACAAGACACATCATCAACAACAACAAGACACAACAAGACACATCATCAACAACAACAAGACACAACAACAACAACAAGACACAACAAGACACGTCATCAACAACAAGACACAACAAGACACATCATCAACAACAAGACACATCATCAACAACAACAAGACACAACAAGACACATCATCAACAACAACAAGACACAACAAAACACATCATCAACAACAAGACACAACAAGACACAACAAAACACATCATCAACAACAAGACACAACAACAACAAGACACAACAAGACACAACAACAACAACAAGACACAACAAGACACGTCATCAACAACAAGACACAACAAGACACATCATCAACAACAAGACACATCATCAACAACAACAAGACACAACAAGACACATCATCAACAACAAGACACAACAAAACACATCATCAACAACAAGACACAACAACAAGACACAACAAGACACAACAACAAGACACAACAACAAGACACAACAAGACACAACAACAAGACACAACAACCGCCAAGCCATCCATGTCTGAGCGCTTCCCATGCCTTCAGTCCCCCCCTTACACCCCTCCCTGTGCCCGGTGCCCCCCCCCCACGTACCCCGTGCCCCCCCCCCCCACGTACCCCGTGCACCACCCCCTCCATGTCCCCCCCACGTACCCCCCCCCCCCCCCCACGTGCCCCCCCCCCCCACGTGCCCCCCCCCCCCCACGTACCCCGTACTCGGGCTTGAAGAATCCCTGCTTCTCCCACCAGGGGTACCAGGCAGCCTCCACGTAGCGAGGGCTGTATGCCTCGGGCATGAGGCCTGACACGTCTACACACAGCACGCAGCACATGCAGCACACACAGTACACATACAGTACACATACAGCACACATACAGCACACATACACACATACACACACCACACACACACAGCACATGCAGCACACATACACACATACACACACACTCACCACACATACACTCATCACACAGCACACACAGCACGCACAGCACACACCACACATACACCACACATACACACACACATACACACAGCACACACACACACCACACATACACGCAGCACACATACACTCATCACACAGCACACACAAGCACGCACAGCACACACCACACACACGCAGCACACACACACCACACATACACTCAGCACACGCAGCACACAGTACACTCAGCACACAGCACACTCAGCACACACACATGCAGCACACACCACACACACACGCACCACACACACAGCACACACACGCAGCACGCACACATAACACGCACCATGCGCACCACACACGCACCACACACGCACCACGCGCACCACACACGCACCACACACGCACCACACACGCACCACGCGCACCACACACGCACCACACACGCACCACACACGCACCACACACGCACCACGCGCCCCACACACGCACCACACACGCACCACACACGCACCACGCGCACCACACACGCACCACACACGCACCACACACGCACCACGCGCACCACACACGCACCACACACGCACCACACACGCACCACACACGCACCACACACACACGCAACAAATACAAAGATCTCCCGTGTAGCCTTAACGGACTGTTGGGGGCAAGTGCCGTTAGCGAGCGGCGCCTACGAAGGCTACCGGCACTGTGGCACACGAGGGGGCGGGTGGCCAGCACCACGCCCGGCCGCCTTTGTCTCCCCAGTGGCGATGTTTACTACACACACAGCACCAGGTACTCACTTGAGGCTGAGTCGCACACACGCACACACACACACGCGCGCACACACAGACGCAACAACGGCAGCGTCACCGCGTCACCGCGCCAGGCTAGGTGCACGCCTCTCACCCTTCTTCTCCCCGGGCGGGGTGTCCACGTCATAGGTGATCACCTCCAGCTCCTTCTTCTCCACCTTGGCCTTCTTCTTCTGCTGCTGCTGCTGCTGCACGGGATAAATAAAAAAAAAACACGGAGCGGAGCCTTCAATACACACGCGGCTTGGAAGCCGGACTCTGGGAGGGAGGAAAACCCGAACCGGGATTCGCGAGGTTAGGCGGCCCACGGACTCGACAGTGAGTGGACGCTGCCAACAAACCGCGAACGGATTTGTCACCGAATGGACCCTGGATTCACGCAAGAAAAAAATACTCGGGACTGGATTTGAGAATCGATGGCCCTTGGATTCAACACCGAGCCAAGGGAAACCTGGACTGGAGCTTGGGATCACCGGTCCATGGGTGAATAAGAAGAGGAGGAAGAGGAGGAAGTGAAAGACGACGACGATGACCTCAGGGGTACGTGGGGGGGGGGGGGGGGGGGCCCTCTCACCTCGTCGGCCCGAGACTCCTTCACCTTCTCCTGCTTCTGCTGGAACTTGTCCAGCTTCTCCTTCCTCTTCGCTTCCTTCTTGAGCTGCGCCGGCGTCTTGGGCTTAGCGTCGTCTCCGTTCGCTGCAGGAGGGGGGGAAGGAGGTGGGGGGAGAGTGGGGGGAAGGAGGTGGGGGGAGAAGGGAGGAGAGAGGGGTGGAGGAAGGGGAGGAGCGGAGGGAGGTAAATAAACAATCCACGTTGGTGCGTCGCCCGACAGCTTGATTCACAATCGGGCCGCGTTGTGCGGAAGGAGGGCGGCGTACGGCGCGGTCACCCGCAGTCACCCACGGTCACCCGCAGTCACCCACAGTCACCCACAGTCACCCACGGTCACCCGCGGTCACCCACAGTCACCCACGGTCACCCGCGGTCACCCACAGTCACCCGCGGTCACCCGCGGTCACCCACGGTCACCCACGGTCACCCACGGTCACCCACGGTCACCCACAGTCACCCGCGGTCACCCACGGTCACCCACGGTCACCCACGGTCACCCACGGTCACCCACGGTCACCCACAGTCACCCGCGGTCACCCACAGTCACCCGCGGTCACCCACAGTCACCCGCGGTCACCCACAGTCACCCACAGTCACCCACAGTCACCCACGGTCACCCACGGTCACCCGCGGTCACCCACAGTCACCCACAGTCACCCACAGTCACCCACAGTCACCCGTGGTCACCCACGGTCACCCACAGTCACCCACAGTCACCCACGGTCACCCACGCTCACCCGCGGTCACCCACGGTCACCCACAGTCACCCACGGTCACCCGCGGTCACCCACAGTCACCCACAGTCACCCACGGTCACCCACGGTCACCCGCGGTCACCCACGGTCACCCACAGTCACCCACAGTCACCCACGGTCACCCACGGTCACCCGCAGTCACCCGTGGTCACCCACAGTCACCCACGGTCACCCACAGTCACCCACTGTCACCCACAGTCACCCGCGGTCACCCACAGTCACCCACGGTCACCCACAGTCACCCACAGTCACCCGCAGTCACCCACGCCCGGTCACCCGCGGTAACCCACGCCCGGTCACCCACCTGTGCCCTCTGCGGCCGCTTGACCTTTCTCCCCGGCGGGCTGACCCTTGGCCGGGGCCGGCTGACCCTTGGCCCCGGCGGGTTGACCTTTGGCCGGGCCCGGCTGACCCTTGGCCCCGGCGGGCTGACCCTTGGCCGGGCCCGGCTGACCCTCGGCCCCGGCGGGCTGACCCTTGGCCGGAGCCGGGTGACCCCCGTCCCCGGCGGGCTGGCGCGGCAGGGCCACGGGCCCCAGCACGGAGAGGAACTCGGGCTGATGGGCGCAGGTGAGGAACCAGCGCGTGGCGTGAGGGTAGCGCCCGCGGGCGGCGGCGTCCAACACCTGCAACGAGGCAAAGGCAAAAGGCAAAAGTCGCCGCCGTCCAAGGGACAGGCTGCAGCAGAGCGTCGGGGCAAGTGCCGTTTCGAAGCGAGCGGCGGGAGGTCGGGGCGGGCCGGCACCCCGGGCCGGCTTCGCCGTCTCGCCGAGCGGCCGATGTTTTCACGAAGACGCCGCGAACGGCCGATACTCGCCTGAGGCCCGGTAGACCTGGGCGGGGGAAAGGGGGGGGGCGGGGGGCGGGGGGGGGGCTCCCCCCACCTCGGGAGCCGGCGTCAAGACGACCGTCGCCGGGAGTCCAAGTCGGGACTCCCGGGCCGGGGTTTCGGACACGGCGGCAGGAACGTCGCTCCGCCGCGCGCCAAAACGACCGCGGAGGCCGTGGGGGGAGACGTTGCGGGGGCGGGGGGGGTGGGGGGGGGGGGGTGGGGGGAGGGGGTGGGGAGAGACGAGGCCAGCCAGGGAGACGTGCGGGAGACGGGCGGGAGATGTGGGGTAGATGTGGGGTCACGTGGAGACACACAAAGACGCGCGGAGACACGTGGAGACACGTGGAGACGCGCGGGGGTGGGGGGGGGGGGTGGGGGAGACACGGCCATCGCGAGCGCCCCACCGCCCCTCCCCCCCCCCCCCCCCGACCCCCGCCACACTCACGTGCGCGAAGGGCAGCAGCAGGGCCGTCGCCACGGAGACGTCGGCGAGGGAGAGGCGCTCGCCGACCAGGAAGGTCCGGTGGCGCAGGGTCGAGTCCAGGGCAGAGAGGACGGTGAAGATCTCCGCTCGGGCTCGCGACGCCGCCTGAGCAAGACAAGAGGGGGCCCCCCACCCCCCAATCTTTTTTGGCGCCAGGGTACCGGTTTCGTGGAAGACAAATTTTATTTTTTCACGGACCGGGGGGACGGTGGGGTTCAACATTGGGTCTTACTTACTCATTGTGGCTACTAGGGGTTAGAGCTTGTGGGCTTACTCATTGTGGCTACTAGGGGTTAGAGCTTGTGGGCTTACTCATGTAGGCTACTAGGGGTTAGAGCTTGTGGGCTTACTCATGTAGGCTACTAGGGGTTAGAGCTTGTGGGCATACTCATGTAGGCTACTAGGGGTTAGCTTGTGGGCTTACTCATGTAGGCTACTAGGGGTTAGAGCTTGTGGGCTTACTCATGTAGGCTACTAGGGGTTAGAGCTTGTGGGCTTACTCATTGTGGCTACTAGGGGTTAGAGCTTGTTGTGGGCTTACTCATGTAGGCTACTAGGGGTTAGAGCTTGTGGGCTTACTCATGTAGGCTACTAGGGGTTAGAGCTTGTGGGCTTACTCATTGTGGCTACTAGGGGTTAGAGCTTGTGGGCTTACTCATTGTGGCTACTAGGGGTTAGAGCTTGTGGGCATACTCATGTAGGCTACTAGGGGTTAAAGCTTGTGGGCTTACTCATTGTGGCTACTAGGGGTTAAAGCTTGTGGGCTTACTCATTGTGGCTACTAGGGGTTAGAGCTTGTGGGCTTACTCATGTGGGCTACTAGGGGTTAGAGCTTGTGGGCTTACTCATGTAGGCTACTATGGAGTTAGAGCTTGTGGGCTTACTCATGTAGGCTACTAGGGGTTAGAGCTTGTGGGCTTACTCATGTAGGCTACTAGGGGTTAGAGCTTGTGGGCTTACTCATGTAGGCTACTAGGGGTTAGAGCTTGTGGGCTTACTCATGTAGGCTACTTGGGGTTAGAGCTTGTGGGCTTACTCATGTAGACTACTAGGGGTTAGAGCTTATGGGCTTACTCATGTAGGCTACTAGGGGTTAGAGCTTGTGGGCTTACTCATTGTGGCTACTAGGGGTTAGAGCTTGTGGGCTTACTCATGTAGGCTACTAGGGGTTAGAGCTTGTGGGCTTACTCATGTAGGCTACTAGGGGTTAGAGCTTGTGGGCTCACTCATGTAGGCTACTAGGGGTTAGAGCTTGTGGGCTTACTCATGTAGGCTACTAGGGGTTAGAGCTTGTGGGCTTACTCATGTAGGCTACTAGGGGTTAGAGCTTGTGGGCTCACTCATGTAGGCTACTAGGGGTTAGAGCTTGTGGGCTTACTCATGTAGGCTACTAGGGGTTAGAGCTTGTGGGTTTACTCATTGTGGCTACTAGGGGTTAGAGCTTGTGGGCTTACTCATTGTGGCTACTAAGGGTTAGAGCTTGTGGGCTTACTCATGTAGGCTACTAGGGGTTAGAGCTTGTGGGCTTACTCATTGTGGCTACTAGGGGTTAGAGATTGTGGGCTTACTCATGTAGGCTACTAGGGGTTAGAGCTTGTGGGCTTACTCATGTAGGCTACTAGGGGTTAGAGCTTGTGGGCTTACTCATGTAGGCTACTAGGGGTTAGAGCTTGTGGGCTTACTCATTGTGGCTACTAGTGGTTAGAGATTGTGGGCTTACTCATGTAGGCTACTAGGGGTAAGAGCTTGTGGGCTTACTCATGTACGCTACTAGGGGTTAGAGCTTGTGGGCTTACTGATGTAGGCTACTAGGGGTTAGAGCTTGTGGGATTACTCATTGTGGCTACTAGGGGTTAGAGCTTGTGGGCTTACTCATGTAGGCTACTAGGGGTTAGAGCTTGTGGGCTTACTCATGTAGGCTACTAGGGGTTAGAGCTTGTGGGCTTACTCATGTAGGCTACTAGGGGTTAGAGCTTGTGGGCTTACTCATTGTGGCTACTAGTGGTTAGAGATTGTGGGCTTACTCATGTAGGCTACTAGGGGTAAGAGCTTGTGGGCTTACTCATGTACGCTACTAGGGGTTAGAGCTTGTGGGCTTACTGATGTAGGCTACTAGGGGTTAGAGCTTGTGGGTTTACTCATTGTGGCTACTAGGGGTTAGAGCTTGTGGGCTTACTCATGTAGGCTACTAGGGGTTAGAGCTTGTGGGCTTACTCATGTAGGCTACTAGGGGTTAGAGCTTGTGGGCTTACTCATGTAGGCTACTAGGGGTTAGAGCTTGTGGGCTTACTCATGAAGGCTACTAGGGGGTTAGAGCTTGTGGGCTTACTCATGTAGGCTACTAGGGGTAAGAGCTTGTGGGCTTACTCATGTACGCTACTAGGGGTTAGAGCTTGTGGGCTTACTGATGTAGGCTACTAGGGGTTAGAGCTTGTGGGTTTACTCATTGTGGCTACTAGGGGTTAGAGCTTGTGGGCTTACTCATGTAGGCTACTAGGGGTTAGAGCTTGTGGGCTTACTCATGTAGGCTACTAGGGGTTAGAGCTTGTGGGCTTACTCATGTAGGCTACTAGGGATTAGAGCTTGTGGGCTTACTCATGTAGGCTACTAGGGGTTAGAGCTTGTGGGCTTACTCATTGTGGCTACTAGTGGTTAGAGATTGTGGGCTTACTCATGTAGGCTACTAGGGGTAAGAGCTTGTGGGCTTACTCATGTAAGCTACTAGGGGTTAGAGCTTGTGGGCTTACTGATGTAGGCTACTAGGGGTTAGAGCTTGTGGGTTTACTCATTGTGGCTACTAGGGGTTAGAGCTTGTGGGCTTACTCATGTAGGCTACTAGGGGTTAGAGCTTGTGGGCTTACTCATGTAGGCTACTAGGGGTTAGAGCTTGTGGGCTTACTCATGTAGGCTACTAGGGGTTAGAGCTTGTGGGCTTACTCATGAAGGCTACTAGGGGGTTAGAACTTGTGGGCTTACTCATGTAGGCTACTAGGGGTAAGAGCTTGTGGGCTTACTCATGTACGCTACTAGGGGTTAGAGCTTGTGGGCTTACTGATGTAGGCTACTAGGGGTTAGAGCTTGTGGGTTTACTCATTGTGGCTACTAGGGGTTAGAGCTTGTGGGCTTACTCATGTAGGCTACTAGGGGTTAGAGCTTGTGGGCTTACTCATGTAGGCTACTAGGGGTTAGAGCTTGTGGGCTTACTCATGTAGGCTACTAGGGGTTAGAGCTTGTGGGCTTACTCATGAAGGCTACTAGGGGTTAGAGCTTGTGGGCTTACTCATGTAGGCTACTAGGGGTTAGAGCTTGTGGGCTTACTCATGAAGGCTACTAGGGGGTTAGAGCTTGTGGGCTTACTCATGTAGGCTACTAGGGGTTAGAGCTTGTGGGCTTACTCATGTAGGCTACTAGGGGTTAGAGCTTGTGGGCTTACTCATGTAGGCTACTAGGGGTTAGAGCTTGTGGGCTTACTCATGTAGGCTACTAGGGGTTAGAGCTTGTGGGCTTACTCATGTAGGCTACTAGGGGTTAGAGCTTGTGGGCTTACCCGTTGTGGCTACTAGGGGTTAGAGCTTGTGGGCTTACTCATGTAGGCTACTAGGGGTTAGAGCTTGTGGGCTTACTCATTGTGGCTACTAGTGGTTAGAGATTGTGGGCTTACTCATGTAGGCTACTAGGGGTAAGAGCTTGTGGGCTTACTCATGTACGCTACTAGGGGTTAGAGCTTGTGGGCTTACTGATGTAGGCTACTAGGGGTTAGAGCTTGTGGGTTTACTCATTGTGGCTACTAGGGGTTAGAGCTTGTGGGCTTACTCATGTAGGCTACTAGGGGTTAGAGCTTGTGGGCTTACTCATGTAGGCTACTAGGGGTTAGAGCTTGTGGGCTTACTCATGTAGGCTACTAGGGGTTAGAGCTTGTGGGCTTATTCATGAAGGCTACTAGGGGGTTAGAGCTTGTGGGCTTACTCATGTAGGCTACTAGGGGTAAGAGCTTGTGGGCTTACTCATGTACGCTACTAGGGGTTAGAGCTTGTGGGCTTACTCATGTAGGCTACTAGGGGTTAGAGCTTGTGGGCTTACTCATTGTGGCTACTAGTGGTTAGAGATTGTGGGCTTACTCATGTAGGCTACTAGGGGTAAGAGCTTGTGGGCTTACTCATGTACGCTACTAGGGGTTAGAGCTTGTGGGCTTACTGATGTAGGCTACTAGGGGTTAGAGCTTGTGGGTTTACTCATTGTGGCTACTAGGGGTTAGAGCTTGTGGGCTTACTCATGTAGGCTACTAGGGGTTAGAGCTTGTGGGCTTACTCATGTAGGCTACTAGGGGTTAGAGCTTGTGGGCTTACTCATGTAGGCTACTAGGGGTTAGAGCTTGTGGGCTTACTCATGAAGGCTACTAGGGGGTTAGAGCTTGTGGGCTTACTCATGTAGGCTACTAGGGGTAAGAGCTTGTGGGCTTACTCATGTACGCTACTAGGGGTTAGAGCTTGTGGGCTTACTGATGTAGGCTACTAGGGGTTAGAGCTTGTGGGCTTACTCATTGTGGCTACTAAGGGTTAGAGCTTGTGGGCTTACTCATGTAGGCTACTAGGGGTTAGAGCTTGTGGGCTTACTCATGTAGGCTACTAGGGGTTAGAGCTTGTGGGCTTACTCATGTAGGCTACTAGGGGTTAGAGCTTGTGGGCTTACTCATGAAGGCTACTAGGGGGTTAGAGCTTGTGGGCTTACTCATGTAGGCTACTAGGGGTTAGAGCTTGTGGGCTTACTCATGTAGGCTACTAGGGGTTAGAGCTTGTGGGCTTACTCATGTAGGCTACTAGGGGTTAGAGCTTGTGGGCTTACTCATGTAGGCTACTAGGGGTTAGAGCTTGTGGGCTTACTCATGTAGGCTACTAGGGGTTAGAGCTTGTGGGCTTACTCATTGTGGCTACTAGGGGTTAGAGCTTGTGGGCTTACTCATGTAGGCTACTAGGGGTTAGAGCTTGTGGGCTTACTCATTGTGGCTACTAGTGGTTAGAGATTGTGGGCTTACTCATGTAGGCTACTAGGGGTAAGAGCTTGTGGGCTTACTCATGTACGCTACTAGGGGTTAGAGCTTGTGGGCTTACTGATGTAGGCTACTAGGGGTTAGAGCTTGTGGGTTTACTCATTGTGGCTACTAGGGGTTAGAGCTTGTGGGCTTACTCATGTAGGCTACTAGGGGTTAGAGCTTGTGGGCTTACTCATGTAGGCTACTAGGGGTTAGAGCTTGTGGGCTTACTCATGTAGGCTACTAGGGGTTAGAGCTTGTGGGCTTACTCATGAAGGCTACTAGGGGGTTAGAGCTTGTGGGCTTACTCATGTAGGCTACTAGGGGTAAGAGCTTGTGGGCTTACTCATGTACGCTACTAGGGGTTAGAGCTTGTGGGCTTACTGATGTAGGCTACTAGGGGTTAGAGCTTGTGGGTTTACTCATTGTGGCTACTAGGGGTTAGAGCTTGTGGGCTTACTCATGTAGGCTACTAGGGGTTAGAGCTTGTGGGCTTACTCATGTAGGCTACTAGGGGTTAGAGCTTGTGGGCTTACTCATGTAGGCTACTAGGGATTAGAGCTTGTGGGCTTACTCATGTAGGCTACTAGGGGTTAGAGCTTGTGGGCTTACTCATTGTGGCTACTAGTGGTTAGAGATTGTGGGCTTACTCATGTAGGCTACTAGGGGTAAGAGCTTGTGGGCTTACTCATGTACGCTACTAGGGGTTAGAGCTTGTGGGCTTACTGATGTAGGCTACTAGGGGTTAGAGCTTGTGGGTTTACTCATTGTGGCTACTAGGGGTTAGAGCTTGTGGGCTTACTCATGTAGGCTACTAGGGGTTAGAGCTTGTGGGCTTACTCATGTAGGCTACTAGGGGTTAGAGCTTGTGGGCTTACTCATGTAGGCTACTAGGGGTTAGAGCTTGTGGGCTTACTCATGAAGGCTACTAGGGGGTTAGAGCTTGTGGGCTTACTCATGTAGGCTACTAGGGGTAAGAGCTTGTGGGCTTACTCATGTACGCTACTAGGGGTTAGAGCTTGTGGGCTTACTGATGTAGGCTACTAGGGGTTAGAGCTTGTGGGTTTACTCATTGTGGCTACTAGGGGTTAGAGCTTGTGGGCTTACTCATGTAGGCTACTAGGGGTTAGAGCTTGTGGGCTTACTCATGTAGGCTACTAGGGGTTAGAGCTTGTGGGCTTACTCATGTAGGCTACTAGGGGTTAGAGCTTGTGGGCTTACTCATGAAGGCTACTAGGGGGTTAGAGCTTGTGGGCTTACTCATGTAGGCTACTAGGGGTTAGAGCTTGTGGGCTTACTCATGTAGGCTACTAGGGGTTAGAGCTTGTGGGCTTACTCATGTAGGCTACTAGGGGTTAGAGCTTGTGGGCTTACTCATGTAGGCTACTAGGGGTTAGAGCTTGTGGGCTTACTCATGTAGGCTACTAGGGGTTAGAGCTTGTGGGCTTACTCATTGTGGCTACTAGGGGTTAGAGCTTGTGGGCTTATTCATGTAGGCTACTAGGGGTTAGAGCTTGTGGGCTTACTGATGTAGGCTACTAGGGGTTAGAGCTTGTGGGTTTACTCATGTAGGCTACTAGGGGTTAGAGCTTGTGGGCTTACTCATTGTGGCTACTAGGGGTTAGAGCTTGTGGGCTTATTCATGTAGGCTACTAGGGGTTAGAGCTTGTGGGCTTACTGATGTAGGCTACTAGGGGTTAGAGCTTGTGGGTTTACTCATGTAGGCTACTAGGGGTTAGAGCTTGTGGGCTTACTCATTGTGGCTACTAGGCGGTTAGCTTGTGGGCTTACCAACACCACGTGACTGAGATGAGTTGCGCGGTGCGGGAAAGAGGCGCGGATGGAAGTGGTAAATAATAGAATAATGGGCGGGCCCATTATTGCTGTGCGGCCCGGTTCCTAACAGGCCACGGACCGGGGGTTGGGGACCCTTGCTGTAGCGGTCCGCGACCGGGGGTTGGGGACCCCTGCTCTAGCGGACCGCGGACCGGGGGTTCGGGACCCCTGCTGTAGCGGTCCGCGGCCCGGGGGTTGGGGACCCCTGCTGTAGCGGTCCGCGGACCGGGGGTTGGGGACCCCTGCTGTAGCGGTCCACGGCCCGGGGGTTGGGGACCCCTGCTGTAGCGGTCCGCGGACCGGGGGTTGGGGACCCCTGCTCTAGTGGACCGCTGGGGCAGGTGGAGTCAACGGCGCAACGGGGGGGGGTGGCGGGCGGCCAGCGCCGACGCGTGCCCCCGGCCGCCTTTGTCTCCCCGGCGGCGATGTTTACCGTCCACCGCCCCCCCCCCCCCCCCCCCCCCCCCCCCGGGGTCACCAGGTTACTCTCGTTTGAGGCCGAGTCGACCTCGGGGGAGGTACCGGGTTCGGACAACCGTCGCCGGGGAATCGAGCCCGGGTCTCCGCCGGGTTTTCGAATCGCAGCGTGCCGACCAAAGATCTCATTGCGTAGCCTACACGGGACTATCGGGGCAAGTGCTCTTTTTATTTTTTTGACAGGTAAGGCTCCCACTGTTTCTCTTTTATCAGAAGCGACGCTCGCCATCGCAAACGATAGCTCAACGGAGTGGCTCATCGTCGTCGTCTTCATCATCGTCTTCATCATCGTCGTCATCATCGATGTCATCATCGTCGTCTTCGTCATCATCGTCGTCATCGTCGTCATCATCGTCATCATCATAGTCATCATCATCATCGTCGTCATCATCGTCGTCATCATCGTCGTCATCATCGTCGTCGTCATCATCGTCGTCATCATCATTGTCATCATCGTCATCGTCGTCATCGTCATCATCGCGTGGGCAGCCAAGTTACTGAAACTCGCGACATCGATTCTCAACGTGGAGGGGAAGAACCGGAGCTGTGTGGAGTCGCGAGGAAGTGACCGACAACAACAACAACATCAACATCATCACGGGATCTCCTTTGCCAGCACAAAAATACCATAATAGGTTTTCCCCTTTATTCTGTTAACAAAACTGAAACCTTTAAACGAGGAATCGTGTCTGCATCAGGCACAACACTCGTGGTCGGAATGCAAACAAACAAACAAAAAAAACTTACCCCGACAGCGTCTGCACTGTTTTTAAACCGACCGGTCCGACGCCAGAGACGGCTTTCCCTGGAGCCTCGTCTCAAGCGGCATCGCACCAGGAGACGTGCGGAAATTTCACGGCAGCGGCCGGAAACGCTTTGAAACCGGAGCTTCCGGAGGCGGCGGGGCGGGGGGGGGGGTCGGTCCTCTGGCTCACCTTGCGGTGGTCGCCCCTGGCGACGGAGGGAAAGCACGTGGCGACGGTCGCCGGGAGCAACGTGCCCTCGGCCAGGGCCACCCATTGGAGGACGGTCGCCTCCTGCTCCGCCCCCTGGCCTAGTCCCGCCCACCGGTCCGCGCCCGGCCCCGGCCCCAACCCGGCCAGGTAGAAGGCGATGGCGTGGGCGCCCGATAGGTTGAAGCCCGAGTTCGATTCCAGGACCGGCAGCGACTTCCAGAGCGCCCTGGGCGGGCGGGGGAGGTGCGGGAGGGAAGACAGAGGCGTTGGCTTGCGTCGCCGCTCGAAGGATTGTCGTCTTCGACTGGGAGATTTCGCGGCTGCAGGAATCCGCACTCTTTGGGTCTCTCGCTAAAGTCATCACGTGGTGGGTGGAGAAAATCAAGCGGATCACGGGACGTTTCGATCGCGACTCCAGCGTTCGTCATCGGGTGGGACAATCGCAAGAGCGAAGAATAAGGATTGTTATGAATTAAGCTTACGAAAACCAGTCAGCTGTTTTTGCGGTTTTAGTTCATTTTCACCGGCCGGCGCCGCAAATCATTCGCGCTGACCGCGGAGGGACGATGTGCCAAGTTGAACAGCCCCCCACCCCCCCCCACCCCACCCCCCCACCACACCCCCCCACCCCGAACGAAGGTTTGAGCCGGCAACTTTGGCTCTGGCCACGGCGTCGCTCAGACGGATGTGCGTACAATTAGGCGGGGAGTATAAGAGGCGTCTCACCAGTGACGCATCATGCAACTCTCGAAAACTAAACTTTCTGTTTTACCCGGGGGGGGGGGGGGGGGGCAAGGCTCGCTGAGCCGTGTAGCCGTTTTTCAGAAGTGACTTGGCACACAAACGACATCTCAATCAGGTGGCTCAACAACAACATCATCATGTGGAAATTTATAGCAGCAAAATATTCCAAAATGCGTGAGTCGCAGAGACCCACAGAGACCCTAATATATAAACCGTAGAGACCTACAGAGACCCACAGAAACCCTAATATATAAACCGTAGAGACCCACAGAGACCCTAATATATAAACCGTAGAGACCCACAGAGACCCACAGAGACCCTAATATATAAACCGTAGAGACCCACAGAGACCCTAATATATAAACCGTAGAGACCCACAGAAACCCACAGAGACCCTAATATATAAACCGTAGAGACCCATAGAAACCGATACTCAACGAGACCCATACTAAAACTGAACAATTTTATTTGACCAGGTAAGGCTCACCGAGCTACGTGACGCTCTTTTTCATAAGTGACTCTGCCTATCGCAAATGATAACAGCTCAACGGGTGGCTCATCATCATCACCATCATCATCACCACCATGCAGCCAGCTATGGCTCTAGGGTTTGGTGTTACATGTTATTTATGTAGTTTATTGTAAAAATTCGATCACAGTCCCTATGATCACTGTTACGTTGCAATTATGGCTTTATTTTTTGGTGATTTCGAAAACGTTTTTTGGTTTGGACATGTTTGTTTTGTTGTAGTACGGAGTTAGACTGATGGCCTTTATCTAAGTTGTCTTGTGGTTGTTGTTGTTGTTTGACTTGCATCCCACTGGGATTTTTTTGCACACAGCGTTGGTGTACGGTGCTTTTTTCAGGAATGTTTTGCTGTTTTTTTTCATGGATTTTCTGTTTTGCACAGTCACACAGTCACTTTAAGATGTTTTTCTTGTTCGTGTTTTCGTTTTTTTGTTTGTTGTGGTTGCACCCGATTCAAGAGCCGAATGGCTCACAGGGCTATACCAAAATAAATAAACTAAACTAAAACTAAACCACCATCATCATCACCACGTGGAAATGAACAGCAGCAGCCAAACACTCTAAACGTGTGGTCATGTCGATTATAAATGTGGAGGGGGAAAAACCGGAGCTGTGTGGAGTCGCTGTGATTGATGTGGTTGTTGTTGTGGTGGTTGTGGTTGAGGAGGCTCGTGAAGGACGCTGCTACCGGGCAGTTGGAGGCAGTCACCCTTCAGCAACAACAACGGAGGGCTGGAGGAGCGACGCTTACAACAACGAGCGGAGCGCCGGGGGGGCTAAAACGCAGCGAGTTGGCACAGTAGGGGGGGTGTACAGCTGGTGGTGCATCGGCTAGTCATCCAACCCATGGGTCTGTACACGTGACCTCCTGCACCTAGCCTGGCACAGTAGGGGGCACAGCCGGTAGTGCATCTACCGGTCATCTCAGCCAACCCATGGCACCTGCAGTGTCTGTCCCCGTGACTTCCTGCACCTAGCCTGGCACAGCAGGGGGGTACAGCCGGTGGTGCATCTGCCGGTCATCTCAGTCAGCCAACCCACGGCAACTGCTGGGTCTGTCCCGTGACCTCCTGTCAGCAGAGAGCCTTCGACAACTTCACGTGATAGCCTCAAAGTGCACCTAGCCTGGCACGGGAGCCGTAGTGACATCACCGTCACTTAGTGGCGAATGGCGGTGGTATTGATGGTTGTGGTGGTGGTTGTGGTGGTTGAGACCAGGGTAGCTATGTGGAGTCGCTGGTGATGTTGATTGTGGTTGTGATGGTGGTTGTGATGGTGGTTGTGATGGTGGTTGTGGTGGTAGTTGTGGTGGTTGTGGTGGTGGTTGTTGAGACCAGGGTAGCTATGTGGAATCCCTGGTGATGTTGATTGTGGTTGTGATGGTGGTTGTGGTGGTGGTTTTGATGGTGGTTGTGATTGTGGTGGTGGTTGTGATGGTGGTTGTGGTGGTAGTTGTGGTGGTTGTGGTTGTTATGGTGGTTATGGTGGTAGTTGTGGTAGTTGTGGTGGTGGTTGTGATGGTGGTTGCGATTGTGGTGGTGGTTGTGATGGTGGTTGTGGTGGTAGTTGTGGTGGTGGTTGTGGTTGTTATGGTGGTTGTAGTGGTAGTTGTGGTGGTGGTTGTGATGGTGGTTGTGATTGTAGTGGTGGTTGTGGTGGTTGTGATGGTGGTTGTGGTGGTAGTTGTGGTGGTTGTGGTGGTGGTTGTTATGGTGGTTGTGGTGGTAGTTGTGGTAGTTGTGGTGGTGGTTGTGATGGTGGTTGCGATTGTGGTGGTGGTTGTGATGGTGGTTGTGGTGGTGGTTGAGGTGGTTGAGGTGGTTGTGATGGTGGTTGTGGTGGTAGTTGTGGTGGTTGTGGTGGTGGTTGTGGTTGTTATGGTGGTTGTGGTGGTAATTGTGCTAGTTGTGGTGGTGGTTGAGACCGGGGTATCCGCGTGGAGTCGCTGGTGACGTTGATGTTGACCCCGGAGAAGCGAGCGGTGATGAGGACGCGGGCGGTGATGACATCAACATCTCCCCCATCACCACCGGTGTGCGTGTAGAGTGTCGGGGACAACATCACCTGCACCATCATCGCCACCATCATCAATATCATCATCCACCATCACCATCGACACATATCCCCACCCTGACGACGCCTGCTGCTGTAGATTTGGAGTCTGTGTCTCTCTCTTTCATCATCACGGTGGCTATGAGATGTTGACTACCTCGCCTGGTACGCAGGAGGTCGTGGGTTCGATCCCGACCCTGACGACGCCTGCTGCTGCTGTATATTTGGAGTCTGCGTCTCTCTCTCTCTCATCATCACAGTGGCTAGGAGATGTTAACTACCTCGCCTGGTGTACAGGAGGTCGTGGGTTCGATCTCTCTCTCTGTCCCCCCGTAGAATTTGGCTCCTGCTATACAATTCCGACAATGCTGCTGCTAAGCCAACTTCGTTTGAGCTCTCGTCTGTGACAGCCAGGGTCGCGTCTGGAGAGAATTACAACTTAAATACGTTTTTAGAGATATTTTTTAGAGATATTATTTAGAGATATTATTTAGAGATATTTTTAGAGATATTATTTAGAGATGTTATTTAGAGATGTAATTTAGAGATGTAATTTAGAGATATTATTTAGATATTATTTAGATTATTTAGAGATATAATTTAGAGATATTACTTAGAGATATTATTTAGAGACTATTTAGAGATTATTTAGACATATTTTTTTAGAGATATTTTTTAGAGATATTATTTAGAGATGTAATTTAGAGATGTAATTTAGAGATATAATTTAGCGATATAATTTAGGGATATTATTTAGAGATATTATTTAGAGACATTATTTAGAGATATAATTTAGAGATATAATTTAGAGATATAATTTAGAGATATTATTTAGAGATGATTTAGAGATTATTTAGAGATGTTAATTAGAGATATCTACGAGTCTGTGTCTACGAGTCTCTGTGTGTCTCTATGTGTCTCTGTGTGTCTCTGTGTATCTCTACGAGTCTCTACGAGTCTCTGTGTCTCTCCGAGTCTCTATGTCTCTACGAGTCTCTAAGAGTCTCTGTGTGTCTCTACATGTCTCTGTGTGTCTCTGTGGGTCTCTGTGGGTCTCTACGAGTTACTGTGTCTCTGTGTGTCGCTATTGGTCTCTATGGGTCTCTATGAGTCTCTGTGTGTCTCTACAAATCTCTACGAGTCTCTGTGTCTACGAGTCTCTGTGTGTCTCTACGTGTCTCTGTGTGTCTCTACGAGTCTCTACGAGTCTCTGTGTGTCTACGAGTCTCTGTCTCTGTGTGTCACTACGAGTCTCTACGAGTCTCTACGTGTCTCTATGAGTCTCTGTGTAATCTACGAGTCTCTGTGTGTCTCTGTATGTCTCTATGAGTCTCTGTGTGTCTCTATGAGTCTCTGTGAGTCTCTACAAGTCTCTGTGTGTCTACGAGTCTCTGTGAGTCTCTGTGAGTCTCTATGTGTCTCTACGAGTCTATACGAGTCTCTATGTGTCTCTGTGTGTCTCTGTGTGTCTCTGTGTGTCTCTGCGGGTCTCTGTGTGTCTCTGTGTGTCTCTACGAGTCTCTGTGTGTCTCTATGTGTCTCTGTGGATCTCTATGAGTCTCTGTGTGTCTCTGTGTGTCTCTGTGGGTCTCTGTGTGTCTCTACGAGTCTCTGTGTGTCTCTGTGTGTCTCTACGAGTCTCTGTGTGTCTCTACGAGTCTCTGAGTGTCTCCGTATGTCTCTGTGGGTCTCCATGAGTCTCTGTGTGTCGACGAGTCTCTGTGAGTCTCTGTGCGTCTCTGTGCATCTCTGTGCGTCTCTGTGCGTCACTGTGGGTCTCTACGAGTCTCTACGAGTCTCTGTGTGTCTCTGTGCGTCTCTACGAGTCTCTGTGTGTCTCTATGTGTCTCTGTGGATCTCTACGAGTCTCTGTGTGTCTCTGTGTGTCTCTACGAGTCTCTGTGTGTCTCTACGAGTCTCTGAGTGTCTCCGTATACCTCTGTGGGTCTCCATGAGTCTCTGTGTGTCGACGAGTCTCTGTGAGTCTCTGTGCGTCTCTGTGCATCTCTGTGCGTCTCTGTGCGTCACTGTGGGTCTCTACGAGTCTCTACGAGTCTCTGTGTGTCTCTGTGCGTCTCTACGAGTCTCTGTGTGTCTCTGTGGGTCTCTGTGCGTCTCTGTGCGTCTCTGTGCGTCTCTGTGCGTCTCTGTGTGTCTCTGTGGGTCTCTACGAGTCTCTACGAGTCTCTGTGTGTCTCTGTGCGTCTCTACGAGTCTCTGTGTGTCTCTGTGGGTCTCTGTGGGTCTCTGTGGGTCTCTATGTGTCTCTATGTGTCTCTGTGTGTCTCTGTGTGTCTCTACGAGTCTCTGTCTCTACGAGTCTCTGTGGGGGTCTCTATGAGTCTCTACGAGTCTCTGTGTCTACGAGTCTCTGTCTCTACGAGTCTCTATGAGTCTCTACGAGTCTCTGTGTCTACGAGTCTCTGTGTGTCTCTGTGTGTCTCTACGAGTCTCTATGAGTCTCTACGAGTCTCTGTGTGTCTACGAGTCTCTGTGTGTCTCTGAGTCTCTGAGTCTCTGTGTGTCTCTATGAGTCTCTATGTGTCTCTATGAGTCTCTGTGTGTCTACGAGTCTCTGTGTGTCTCTATGAGTCTCTGTGTGTCTCTATGAGTCTCTGTGTGTCTCTATGAGTCTCTGTGAGTCTCTGTGAGTCTCTCTGTGTCTCTATGAGTCTCTATGAGTCTCTACGAATCTCTGTGTATCTCTGTGTCTCTACGAGTCTCTGTGTGTCTCTATGTGTCTCTGTGGGTCTCTGTGGGTCTCTGTGGGTCTCTGTGGGTCTCTATGAGTCTCTGTGTATCTCTGTGTGTCTCTGTGGGTCTCTGTGTGTCTCTACGAGTCTCCGTGTGTCTCTACGAGTCTCTGTGTGTCTCTGTGTGTCTCTACGAGTCTCTGTGTGTCTCCATGGATCTCCATGAGTCTCTGTGTGTCTCTGTGGGTCTCTGTGTGTCTCTACGAGTCTCTGTGTGTCTCTGTGTGTCTCTATGAGTCTTTGTGTGTCTGTGTCTCTACGAGTCTCCGTGTGTCTCCGTGTGTCTCCGTGTGTCTCTGTGGATCTCTGTGGATCTCTATGAGTCTCTGTGTCTACGAGTCGCTGTGAGTCTCTGTGCGTCTCTGTGCGTCTCTACAAGTCTCTGTGTGTCTCTGTGGGTCTCTGTGGGTCTCTACGAGTCTCTACGAGTCTCTGTGTGTCTCTGTGTGTCTCTGTGTGTCTCTGTGGGTCTCCATGAGTCTCTGTGGGTCTCCATGAGTCTCTGTGCATCTCCATGAGTCTCTGTGTGTCTACGAGTCTCTGTGTGTCTCTGTGTGTCTCTGTGGGTCTCTGTGTGTCTCTACGAGTCTCTGTGTGTCTCCATGGATCTCCATGAGTCTCTGTGTGTCTCTGTGGGTCTCTGTGTGTCTCTACGAGTCTCTGTGTGTCTCTGTGTGTCTCTATGAGTCTTTGTGTGTCTGTGTCTCTACGAGTCTCCGTGTGTCTCCGTGTGTCTCCGTGTGTCTCTGTGGATCTCTGTGGATCTCTATGAGTCTCTGTGTCTACGAGTCGCTGTGAGTCTCTGTGCGTCTCTGTGCGTCTCTACAAGTCTCTGTGTGTCTCTGTGGGTCTCTGTGGGTCTCTACGAGTCTCTACGAGTCTCTGTGTGTCTCTGTGTGTCTCTGTGTGTCTCTGTGGGTCTCCATGAGTCTCTGTGGGTCTCCATGAGTCTCTGTGCATCTCCATGAGTCTCTGTGTGTCTACGAGTCTCTGTGTGTCTCTGTGTGTCTCTGTGGGTCTCTACGAGTCTCTACGAGTCTCTGTGTGTCTCTATGTGTCTCTGTGTGTCTCTGTGTGTCTCTATGAGTCTCTGTGTGTCTCTGTGGGTCTCCATGAGTCTCTGTGGGTCTCCATGAGTCTCTGTGCATCTCCATGAGTCTCTGTGTGTCTACGAGTCTCTATGTGTCTCTATGTGTCTCTGTGTGTCTACGAGTCTCTGTGTGTCTCTATGAGTCTCTGTGTGTCTCCGTGAGTCTCTGTGAGTCTCTGTGTGTCTACGAGTCTCTGAGAGTCTCTATGTGTCTCTATGTGTCTCTATGAGTCTCTACGAGTCTCTACAAATATCTGTGTCTCTACGAGTCTCTGTGTGTCTCTATGTGTCTCTGTGTGTCTCTGTGTGTCTCTGTGGGTCTCTATGAGTCTCTGTGTGTCTCTGTGGGTCTCTGTGGGTCTCTACGAGTCTCTGTGTGTCTCTACGAGTTTCTGTGTGTCTCTACGAGTCTCTGTGGGTCTCCATGAGTCTCTGTGGGTCTCCATGAGTCTCTGTGCGTCTCCATGAGTCTCTGTGCGTCTCCATGAGTCTCTGTGTGTCTACGAGTCTCTGTGTGTCTCTATGTGTCTCTGTGTGTCTCTATCAGTCTGTGTCGACATGAGCCTCTGTGTCTACGAATCTCTGTGTGTCTCTACGTGTCTCTATGTGTCTTTGTGGGTCTCCATGAGTCTCTATGTGTCTCTACGAGTCTCTACGAGTCTCTGTGTGTCTCTGTGTGTCTCTACGAGTCTCTGTGTGTCTCTACGAGTATCTGTGTGTCTCTGTGTCTCTACGAGTCTCTGTGTGTCTCTGTGTCTCTATGAGTCTGTGCGTCTCTACGAGTCTCTACGAGTCTCTGTGTGTCTCTACGAGTCTCTGTGCGTCTCTACGAGTCTCTGTGTGTCTCTACAAGTTTCTGTGTGTCTCTATGAGTATCTACGAGTCTCTGTGTCTCTACGAGTCTCTGTGTGTCTACGAGTCTCTGTGTGTCTCTATGAGTCTATGTGTCTCTATGAGTCTCTACGAGTCTCTGTATCGCTGTGTGTCTCTATGAGTCTCTACGAGTCTGTGTGTCTCTACGAGTCTGTGTGTCTCTGTGTCTCTGTGTGTCTCTGTGTGTCTCTGTGTGTCTCTGTGTGTCTCTGTGTGTCTACGAGTCTATGTGTGTCTCTAAGAGTTTATGTGTGTCTCTACGAGTCTATGTGTGTCTCTACGAGTCTCTACGAGTCTCTGTATGTCTCTACGTGTCTCTGTGTCTCTATTGGTCTCTATTGGTCTCTATGGGTCTCTATGAGTCTCTATGAGTCTCTGTGTGTCTACGAATCTCTGTGTGTCTCTGTGAGTCTCTGTGGGTCTCTATGAGTCTCTGTGGGTCTCTACGAGTCTCTGTGTGTCTCTACAAGTCTCTGTGTGTCTCTACAAGTCTCTGTGCGTCTCTATGAGTCTCTACGAGTCTCTGTGTGTCTCTGTGTCTCTATGAGTCTGTGTGTTTCTGTGCGTCTCTACGAGTCTCTGTGTCTCTATGAGCCTGTGTGTCTCTACAAGTCTCTGTGTGTCTCTACGAGTCTCTGTGTCTCTACGAGTCTCTGTGTCTGTGTGTCTCTGTGGGTCTCTACGAGTCTCTGTGAGTCTCTGTGTGTCTCTATTGGTCTCTATGAGTCTCTGTGTGTCTCTACGAATGTCTACGAGTCTCTGTGTCTCTACGAGTCTCTGTGTCTCTACGAGTCTCTGTGTGTCTCTGTGGGTCTTTATGAGTCTCTACGAATCTCTACGAATCTGTCTCTACGAGTCTCTGTGTGTCTCTACGTGTCTCTGTGTGTCTCTGTGTGTCTCTGTGGGTCTCTACGAGTCTCTGTGTGTCTCTGTGTGTCTCTACGAATCTCTACGAATCTGTGTCTCTACGAGTCTCTGTGTGTCTCTGTGGGTCTCTACGAGTCTGTGTGTCTCTATTGGTCTCTATGGGTCTCTATGAGTCTCTGTGTCTCTACGAGTCTCTGTGTATCTCTGTGAGTCTCTGTGGGTCTCTATGAGTCTCTGTGGGTCTCTATGAGTCTCTGTGGGTCTCTATGAGTCTCTACGAGTCTCTGTGTCTCTACGAGTTTGTGTGTCTCTGTGCGTCTCTATGGGTCTCTATGAGTCTCTGTGTCTGTGTCTCTGTGTGTCTCTGCGAGTCTACGAGTCTGTGTCTCTATTGGTCTCTATGGGTCTCTATGAGTCTCTGTGTCTCTACGAATCTCTGTGTTTCTACGAATCTCTGTGTCTCTGTGAGTCTCTGTGGGTCTCTATAAGTCTCTGTGGGTCTCTACGAGTCTCTGTGGGTCTCTATGAGTCTCAACGAATCTGTGGGTCTCTATGAGTCTCTGTGTGTCTCTCCGAGTCTCTGTGTCTCTACGAGTCTGTGTCTCTATGAGTTTCTACGAGTCTCTGTGGGTCTCTACGAGTCTCTGTGTGTCTCTGTGTGTCACTTCGAGTCTCTGTGTGTCTCTGTGTGTCTGTGTGTCTCTACGAGTCTCTGTGTGTCTCTGTGTGTCTGTGTGTCTCTACGAGTCTCTCTGTGTCTCTGTGTGTCTCTGTGGGTCTCTATGAGTCTACGAGTCTCTGTGGGTCTCTATGAGTCTCTGTGTGTCTCTACGAGTCTCTGTGTGTCTCTACGAGTCTCTCTGTGTCTCTATGTGTCTCTGTGGGTCTCTATGAGTCTACGAGTCTCTGTGGGTCTCTGTGTGTCTGTGTGTCTCTACGAGTCTCTCTGTGTCTCTGTGTGTCTCTGTGGGTCTCTATGAGTCTACGAGTCTCTGTGGGTCTCTATGAGTCTACGAGTCTCTGTGGGTCTCTATGAGTCTCTGTATGTCTCTACGAGTCTCTGTGTGTCTCTGTGTGTCTCTACGAGTCTCTGTGTCTGTGTGTCTCTGTGGGTCTCTACGAGTCTCTGTGAGTCTCTGTGTGTCTCTATTGGTCTCTATGAGTCTCTGTGTGTCTCTACGAATGTCTACGAGTCTCTGTGTCTCTACGAGTCTCTGTGTCTCTACGAGTCTCTGTGTGTCTCTGTGGGTCTCTATGAGTCTCTAAGAATCTCTACGAATCTGTCTCTACGAGTCTCTGTGTGTCTCTACGTGTCTCTGTGTGTCTCTGTGGGTCTCTGTGAGTCTCTGTGAGTCTCTACGAGTCTCTGTGTGTCTCTGTGTGTCTCTACGAATCTCTACGAATCTGTGTCTCTACGAGTCTCTGTGTGTCTCTGTGGGTCTCTACGAGTCTGTGTGTCTCTATTGGTCTCTATGGGTCTCTATGAGTCTCTGTGTCTCTACGAGTCTCTGTGTATCTCTGTGAGTCTCTGTGGGTCTCTATGAGTCTCTGTGGGTCTCTATGAGTCTCTGTGGGTCTCTATGAGTCTCTACGAGTCTCTGTGTCTCTACGAGTTTGTGTGTCTCTGTGCGTCTCTATGGGTCTCTATGAGTCTCTGTGTCTGTGTCTCTGTGTGTCTCTGCGAATCTACGAGTCTGTGTCTCTATTGGTCTCTATGGGTCTCTATGAGTCTCTGTGTCTCTACGAATCTCTGTGTCTCTACGAATCTCTGTGTCTCTGTGAGTCTCTGTGGGTCTCTATAAGTCTCTGTGGGTCTCTACGAGTCTCTGTGGGTCTCTATGAGTCTCAACGAATCTGTGGGTCTCTATGAGTCTCTGTGTGTCTCTACGAGTCTCTGTGTCTCTACGAGTCTGTGTCTCTATGAGTTTCTACGAGTCTCTGTGGGTCTCTATGAGTCTCTGTGTGTCTCTACGAGTCTGTGTGTCTCTGTGTGTCACTTCGAGTCTCTGTGTGTCTCTGTGTGTCTGTGTGTCTCTACGAGTCTCTATGTGTCTCTGTGTGTCTCTGTGTGTCTCTGTGTGTCTGTGTGTCTCTACGAGTCTCTCTGTGTCTCTGTGTGTCTCTGTGGGTCTCTATGAGTCTACGAGTCTCTGTGGGTCTCTATGAGTCTCTGTGTGTCTCTACGAGTCTCTGTGTGTCTGTGTGTCTCTACGAGTCTCTCTGTGTCTCTATGTGTCTCTGTGGGTCTCTATGAGTCTACGAGTCTCTGTGGGTCTCTGTGTGTCTGTGTGTCTCTACGAGTCTCTCTGTGTCTCTGTGTGTCTCTGTGGGTCTCTATGAGTCTACGAGTCTCTGTGGGTCTCTATGAGTCTACGAGTCTCTGTGGGTCTCTATGAGTCTCTGTGTGTCTCTACGAGTCTCTGTGTGTCTCTGTGTGTCTCTACGAGTCTCTATGTGTCTCTGTGTGTCTCTGTGGGTCTCTATGAGTCTACGAGTCTCTGTGGGTCTCTATGAGTCTCTGTGTGTAAGGAGGTGGTGGTGCTGATTCTCTCACCGGCTTTCAAGGCAGCGAAGTCGCCAACGTCGCAGTCAATGAATGGGGGGTTCGCCTTTGCCACTCTTTTGATTGAACTTTGAAAATAAAAACAATGAAACGTTTAAACGTTGTCAAAATGTTTAAATTTGCATTTAAAAAACGCGGAGCCACGCTACCACCACCCACCAGCCGAGGATGATGAAACTACGGGTAACGAAAGGTGCCAAAAACATCGAAATCGATCCGATTTCCGCGTTTATTCTCGCGAGGTCAAATCGATTCCGTGCGACGCCTCCGAACGTGCAGCGATTCGTCGACTTGCGTTCGTTGAAAAAAGCACCGCTGTCGACTCGAATCGATTACTAAGCGAAAGAGGGTTCAGAGTTTTACAAATATTAATCGAATCGTTTATCTCGGGCGACCCGGGTGCCAAAGGCGCACGGATTTGTCGATTCGAAACGCGCGCGGATCGATTCCTGGTCCATCGTCGGTAGGAATCTACGGTGTCACTTGGTTATAACGCATCGATCCCTCGTAATTAATTCGCGGCAATTGGCGATTTAAAATTAAAACCGTTTATCGATTGCGGTGCTGATGATCAGAATATGATCCACAGTGGAGGTGTTTGTGTCGTGAAATCCGTGTAGTGTATAGTGGAGTATACTAGTACAGCACTAGTGTGTAGTGTGTAGTGTAGTATACTAGTACAGCACTAGTGTGTAGTGTAGTATACTAGTACAGCACTAGTGTGTAGTTTATAGTGTAGTATACTAGTACAGCACTAGTGTGTAGTGTATAGTGTAGTATACTAGTACAGCACTAGTGTGTAGTGTATAGTGTAGTATACTAGTACAGCACTAGTGTGTAGTGTAGTGTATAGTGTAGTATACTAGTACAGCACTAGTGTGCAGTGTATAGTGTAGTATACTAGTACAGAACTAGTGTGTAGTGTATAGTGTAGTATACTAGTACAGCACTAGTGTGCAGTGTATAGTGTAGTGTAAAGTGTAGTATACTAGTACAGCACTAGTGTGTAGTGTATAGTGTAGTATACTAGTACAGCACTAGTGTGTAGTGTATAGTGTAGTGTATAGTATTACGGCACTAGCGTATAGTGTAGTGTATAGTGTAGTATACTAGTACAGCACTAGTGTATAGTGTAGTATACTAGTACAGCACTAGTGTATAGTGTAGTGTATAGTGTGGTATATTAGTACAGCACTAGTGTGTAGTGTATAGTGTAGTATACTAGTACAGCACTAGTGTGTAGTGTATAGTGTAGTATACTAGTACAGCACTAGTGTGTAGTGTATAGTGTAGTATACTAGTACAGCACTAGTATATAGTGTAGTGTATAGTGTAGTATACTAGTACAGCGCTAGTGTGTAGTGTAGTGTACAGTGTAGTATACTAGTACAGCGCTAGTGTGTAGTGTATAGTGTAGTATACTAGTACAGCATTAGTGTGTAGTGTATAGTGTAGTGTACTAGTACAGCGCTAGTGTGTAGTGTATAGTGTAGTATACTAGTACAGCATTAGTGTGTAGTGTATAGTGTAGTGTACTAGTACAGCACTAGTGTGTAGTGTATAGTGTAGTGTACTAGTACAACACTAGTGTATAGTGTAGTGTAGGATACTAGTACAGCACTGGTGTGTAGTGTATAGTGTAGTATACTAGTACAGCACTAGTGTGTAGTGTATAGTGTAGTGTACTAGTACAGCACTAGTGTGTAGTGTATAGTGTAGTGTACTAGTACAGCACTGGTGTATAGTGTAGTATACTAGTACAGCACTAGTGTGTAGTGTATAGTGTAGTATACTCGTCCAGCGCCAACCGGTTGTGTGTTGGAGAGTAAACCAACTGCACAACATTTACAATTCGTGTAACTGTGACGTTTCGCCAGTAATTATAACAACCAGCATCACCAAGGTGGGCAGCCACATAGTTGTGGAGAAATCCTCCTGCTGCTGATGTCTTCAATCGAGCGGAGGGATAAGCGTGGCGTCGTCACTTGTGAGCCAATCAGATGCGAAGACCAGAGTTGGGGAGAGCATTTACATGATGAGACCTCCCTTTGCCAGTAACAAGATATAGTAATAGGTTTTTACCCTTTTATCTGGCACCAAAACTTGACACCTTTATACAAGGGGATCATGTTTGCAATAACCACAACACCCGAGACGGCTTTTCTTAGAGCCTCGCCTCCACTGGTGTTGGACCAGATGACGCCATAGGCGTACAACTCAAATACAGCGCACTATCAGAGGATTGAGAGCTAGCTCTCAATACTCTGATAGTGCGCTGTTTTTGAGTATTGAGAGATAGCGCTCAATACTCTGATAGTGCGCTGTTTTTGAGTATTGAGAGATGCTCTCAATACTCTGATAGTGCGCTGTTTTTGAGTTGTACGCCTTTTGGCGTCATCTGGTCCAACACCAGTGGTGATGAGGCTCTAAGAAAAGCCGTCTCGGGTGTGGACCAATCAAATTCAAGGACAGTGCCAATATCATTATCAGAGTTGTCTCTTTTTGTTTGCATTTTGACTGCTTGTGTTGTGGTTATTGCAAACATGATCCCCTTGTATAAAGGTGTCAGTTTTGGTGCCAGATAAAAGGGTAAAAACCTATTACTACAGAGTGTGGAGGTTTAATGAATGCATATAGGGGCCGTCCATAAATGACGTCACGCGATTTTGGACGATTTTTGACCTCCCCCCCCCCCTTCGTCACACGACGTCACAAAAAGTCAGACCCCCCACAAATATGACGTCACAAAGCTCTGCCCCCCCACCACCCCCAAAACCATATTTCCATTTTGAAAATAAAACACGCTTCAAATTGCTTTAAACTATTGTCATTGTAGTACGTATTTAATGTGGCGCTGCACTTTGATGTTGTAGGAGTGTTGTTATAACTAGTGTTATAGCAATTCCATATTTAAAGTTGGGCATTTTGATGTGACGTCACATTTCTCAAACCCCCCCTCCCTCCAGGTGCGTGACGTCATTTATGGATGGCCCCTAAGTTAGGAGCGATGGTCACCACCCTATATCGTTATCCTGTGAACATCTGAGTTATCTGTTACGTTAGTTAATAAACTGTGTTGCCTACAAAGTTAAAGTGTGTGCCTCAATTGAAACCATTACACATGTACCGTAGTCCTGCCATTCAGTTCGGTGCAAGGAATCGCAATAGCTGTTATTGTCTGGTGAAACAGTCTAGTAGTAATTCTACTTGATTAGCTTCCGAACAGCACCTAAGCCTGCAGCTATCAGAATGGTTAAAATATTTTTTATTTCCCTCGATTTCGATAGATTCTATAATTAGTACTTGGCAAGTAGTAACTAGTTTTTGCACGGAACTTCAACATTATCAAAGTCAATTGAGTGTCTTTGTTGGCACGCGTGCCCTGCCACTGCCTCCAGTTCTATTTGAAAGTATTTCATATTCCATTGGTGTTCTTTTAGTCTCGTGCTGATCATTAGTCCCGTCTGACCAACATAGCATTTGTCACAAGAGCAAATTAATCCGGTACACACCCGTCTGTTGATAGCTTCGGTAATTACATCTTTAGTACCAGATGTTAGTTTTTGTATTCCGTGCACCGTGCCAAATCCTACTCGGATGTTTTGTTTTTTTCCATAAACCTGGCTAGTTTATCAGTTACTCCTGCAATGGTACGGTATTTTAATAATTGCCTGATCAATGTTAACGCTTGTCCTATTTGATTTGATATTTGGCATTCAGTGCCTTGTTGATTTGTCCGTCATTATAAACCGTTCAGTTCAGTTTCATCTCACTCCTCAGACTTTCACCATATCACACTTTCTTAGCCCGGCGTACGAGCGTCTCGATGAGGGAGCATTTCTGTGCGGCGGGGGTGGGCGATGGTGCATTCGGATCGGCATCCGTGAGCGTTTTTTCTTTCGGCGAACGCTGTGTGGCTTATTTGACCGTTTCGGCCGCGTCCGAGGAGAATGTATCCAGAAGCGGGATAGAGTTCTGTCAATCTCCACTGCCATGGTGAACTGAACGCGTGGGGTTTTGCGAGTTGACAATCCACACATGACACGATGTAACACGATTGTTGTTCCTGGGTACGAAGTGTTATTTTCTAAATGCTTATGCCTCGAAAGTATTTATATATTAAAAAAACATGGCTATTATTACCCCCCACAAACTTTGCTTTTGTGACCAGGACAATACGTGAAGGAATAAACACAAACGCACACCGCACGTTATCTCATTGAAAATCGGTACATGTAAAAATATCGCTGTCCCGGTCACAAAAGCAACGTTTGTGGGGGGATAATAGCCACTTTCTGTACCTTTAAAGGCATAAACAATTGGAAAATAACACGTAGTTATCGGAGCATGTTTGTTCGCATGCTCACCACCAGTCCGTGTGGTTAATGCAGACTTGATTCCTCGCGAAAGGTTGAATCCACTTGGTGTTTGAACATCTTAATAACTCCTGTTTTATTGCCAAAAAGGTCTCATGGTAAGTGCACAACGGCAAACGAAACAAAAAGGAACAGAGGAGAGTGCAAAAGTAGAAAAAAAGGGTTGGCAAGTCACCGCGTGCGGAATAAGTAATACGTTAGTTATTCTTGGTTCTTTCGGTAAAGTCACCACGTAGAAGGGAAACAATGAAATAATACAAAAATAACCTCCACTTTTTTCAAATTTTCTTGCTGTGGTTTTCACACCTGATGACGATTGCTTGTGTCGCAGTCGAAACGTCGTGAGAATGTAATTGTTTTATATTTTTCTTATTTTATTGTTACATTTATTTAAAGTTTGCGCATTTTGATGTGACGTCACATTTCTCACCCCCCCCCCCCCCCCCAGGTCACGTGACGCCATTTATGGACGGCCTCTAATAGCTGTTAACGAAAAGTTAAGAAAAAGGTTTTTGAATGATCTTAAGGTTTTTTTTTACTTTTCGTAACAGCAATCTTCATTGGAGCATGACAGACGAGGCTCTGCCTCCCCTGACCGCACGTCCCTGCTCTCTACGGTACCAGCATGAGCATGGCACGGCATGATTCACTCGGGGTGGGGGTAGGGCAGGGTCCGGGTGTCACCGAGGTCGGCTCAGGACACGCGACACCCCGGGTGAACCCGACAGGGCACGTGAGCGGACCCAGGCGGGCCAGGGGACACCCGGATAAAAGTGCGAGCATCACGTGGTGAGGGGAGCCGACCCTTCCCCCCGAAGGATCCG